CCCTCCCTTCCCATAAGGAGCGGCATAATTACAGCGCGGAAAATTTTTGTCGAGTAATACATAACGTATTGTAACAGAATAATTTACCTTTTTTAACTAATTTTTCTTTTCTTCACGTGAACGTTTACATCTTCGGGAAGAATTCTCTCCGCGTGTAAATTTATATTTTCTTTCGCACGAAAAATATATGATTCCCATTTCGCTTCTCGCGCGCTTCGCTTCCGCGAGGAAAATGTTCCGGTATCTCCGCGCGGATGACACCGCACACATGTAACAATTACGCGCGAAATTCTTCGGCTGTTTAATCTGTCCGCATTGTTTCGGCTCGCGAGTGCTTGTATCTTCAAGTAAAAATTCTCGACGCGTGCACACTTCACAAGCACATCGTCCTGATCGCTCCACGGTCGGTCGCGACGAGGCCCGACGGCTGGGAAATTCACTCGTCGGGAATGGCACGGCTGCGCGGAAACGCAGCGCAAGCAATTGGCGCCTTTGGCCGATCTGCCTCTCCGAGGCCTCCGGGATCATACCTGCCCTTTGTTTGTCTTTGCCTCTGTTTTGCGTCCTCTTTGTACCGCGCGCGCGGTACCCTTGGAAACCGCCCGGCCTGTCGGAGTCTTGCTCAGGATTCAGCACGCGACATCAAACAAAAATAATGAAGAGTTGCATTTCTCGCGTAACGTGCGTTATCATTTCATTAGTCGCGCGCACGACGACTCCCTGCGATGTGTTACGCGTGTCCGCGTGTGTAAATTATATTTAATTAGTTGATGCGTCTTTCCGTTAACGCGATGTCTCTGATATACGTTACTCCGGCCGCCGCTGTGAGGGTATTTCTTGGCGCGTCCGCCATATTCGTCGTTATTGATTGCCGCGCAAATCGATGCATCGACTGAAACCGTACGACCACCGGGCAATCTCGGGGCTTCCCGACTATATAGTTATATATATCTCTCTCTCTCTTTCTCTTTCTCGGTATGTGAGAAACGTGCATGCGACTGCATCTCCGCCGAGCGTGCTGATTCTCGAGGTAAACGTAAAAAAAAAATAATGAAAAGGAACGCAGAACGATCAGCGCTCGCGCGCGTCAGAAGACACGCGGCGATGAATGATGAATTCTCGCCAGGGGGGATTCGGTCACTTCAGAAAAATGCGATCGAGGGTAGCCGAGACTCGGCGCAAAAATCGCGCGGCGAATCCAGGAAAAAGAAAAAAACGAACACTCGCGGGAAACCCGTTCACGAGAGCGCGGCCGCCGCCGTCCATTACGTCGCATTTCACGGCCGCTAACCGAAACCTCGAATGCCCTCCCACAGAGAGAATCCGGGTGAGTTCGATGTTTTCCGGACACCATTTAAACCTCACGAACGAAAAAATCCAGATGATCGGCTGCGGCGTGCGAAGTGAAGAGAGAGAGAGAGAGAGAGAGAAGGAGGCGCGGGTAAGAGGACAGAGAAGGCGAGAGCAATCTCAGGGAGGATTCCCACCGTGCTCCGGTACCACTCTCGAGGTCGCGCTGCCGGGTCGGTAATTGACTGCATAAATTTTCCAGCACGCCACCGACGTTGGAGCGCACGTATACAGAAAGAGATCGCCTACCGCGGAAAAGAGAACGGAGTACTGAGGCGGGAAGACCGGGGGAGAGAGAGAGAGAAAGAGAGAGAGAGAGAGAGATGGGAAAACCGTACTAGTACAGCTGAGCGCGAAGTGGAAGATAGAACGGACAAAGTGCGAGGGAGAGAGAGAGAGAGAGAGAGAGAGAAAGAGAGGGAGCGTTTTCGCGTCGGTTTCTCTTAGCGGCACGATTCGGCGAAAAGCGTCGTCGTCGGCGCTTCTCCTCTCTCTCTTCTCTTTCCCGGCCGTCTTTCGCCGTTTCGCCCTCTTTCTCCCGCGACTCGAAAGGGGATCCCGAGGTGTGCAGGACGCGGGCGGAAGGAGAGAGGGGGGCCGAAGAGGAGGGAGGGTGTCGAGGAGATGGAGTGGTTGGGGGGAGAGGCCGGGGGATGCTTCGGCGAAGAAGAGTAGAGAGAACCATGAGAGTAAGCCGCTTATCAGGGTGGCAGCAGGCAGTATAGGTCCAACCGACGCAGATAGGTGGGTTTCCATGGAAACACGGATCTGTCCGTTAGGTCCCTGCGTACCTACGTCCAGCCGCCTCTATCCGTTGTAGGCGTATCCGCGCTACATGAAAAGCCGGCGAACGAGAGAGAAACAACGAACAACGGGGTCGTCGTCGACGACGACGACACAACGCGGGGGTGTGGAGGAGTCGACGCGGTAGAGACGGAAATAGAAACAAAGGGCGGGCGGCGGGAAGGGAGTAGCGCACGACTCTTGCCACCGGAAGCTTCCGCTTTGTATTATCCGCCCGTGACGAGGCCGACGGCGCCGCGTTTTCCCCGTCGGACCGTCGGTTTCAGAGGAGCGTCGCATTCAGCGTCTCTATGAACCATCTTACCGCCCCGTATCTGTCGCGAGAACCGCGATATCATGAGGTCTGTTCTTTCCTTCTCGTTGAACTGACTGCATCAGCTTGTACTAGTTCTCTTCTCCTCGTTCTTTTACCATGTCTTGACTGTATATTTGTCTCTTTTTAAGTTACATGAATGCACACTAGCGCGACAAAAAAAAACAAACCTTAGGTTCGCGCGAGCTTATCGAGAGTGGCCCTCGGCGCGAAATTAATTCGCGCGACGATGTTCGGCAACGACGACGCGTGGTCGCAAAGGGCGATTCCGTGTCGCGCGATACGCGCCGCGCGGCGCTGTTTATTTTGTTATGCAATCATACCGGCGGGAGGGGCCCGAGGGAGAGAGACGATCGCAGTCAGGTCGACGAAAGAGCGATAACTTCTCGGGCGGGAGGCTCGTCGAGGAGGTGGGAAGGGGTGCGCAAGTGGTAGGGCTCTCTCCCTAGGACTGATTCGCGGCGGGATACGTGGGAATCGTGTCACATGGCCTCCGCCCTTTTCCCATCCGAGCTACTATTTGTTGTCGCAGAGAAATTGCCCGTCCACTTAACTTCCTCCGGCTCGTCGTGACGACGGAGGCGGCGGGCGTCGCGACGCGTGAACGAGGACACCGTCGTCGCTGATTTTCTGTCCGACGATCGTTAATCGTCGGGCAGAAACGATAAGAATCGTGGCCTTGAATTCGGTAACGATACGCGGAAA